AGGCCGAAGGGTTTCCAGTGTCGATGAATTCCGAAGGAGAGGACGAGCGATGACGCGGCGGAGGTCGACTATCGTCAAAGGGCGCGGACTCTTCGGACGCGACGAGGGGAAAAATCGATTATCCAGCGATGACAGGCTGGTAACACGCGGGTAATCCGCTCGCGCGATGTTTACACGCGATCCGTCCATCGGAAGGACGGTATTTGCATGTGAACGCTCGGCAGGGAGGGGAAAATCCGAGCTTCGAGACTTGATTTCGAAGGCATTGCAAACCGACCGGTTCTCGACTCGTGAACACCTGTTGTGATTCCCTTGGAATCCCGCGATCGTTTCGCCTCGTGTCCCAGCCCCCGCTTAAGAAATCTCACTGTTTGCCGATGCATTTCGATCCCTTGTTGCCTGTAGTTTCGCCGGAAACGCTTCCCGGGTGAATAAAACGGAGCGCCATTTCCATTCGCCCTTAACCGCTACTGGCAACTGATTGCGGACCATAACGAGTGACCGGGACACGTTATACGATAATATTCGCCGCTTTCCTTTTCTATTGAAGGTATTTCGCTGGATAGGAACTGTTAAGGAATAATAAACTTATCATTTGTTTTGCTTGGGTTACATTTACTTAATATATATATAATAAGTATACTTAAAACTGAGAGAATGTTGCAATTTGGAACGTAAACCACTACACTTCTTTTTGATAAATAGCCCGTGACACTAAAAGGATAGTCAAAGATAGAGAATCAAGTACCAAGAAATTGAAATAAAAGCCAGTTGGATATAAATCAAACTGTCACAGTTGGGGAAACCACTAGCCACTAGATAAGAGTGACGTTCGCCTTTTTGGCAGACAATGGATCCATTTTAGAAACGAAGTGGTAATTACTCACGGAATCACGCGAGTCAGGGAGGAAGACGTTATCGTTCGCCGGGGATGCAGGCAAATCAAGTTAGTCGACAAAGGGACAGGGAGATAATCGCAGTCCCTCTCTTTCTCTCTGCGAACGTTACAGTCGAGCACAAGGAAAATTCAATTCGAAAGATCGAAATCTCCTGCTCTGGCTGAGACTAGTCAAAGGAGCATGCAATCCATCGGATATTTGCTGCCATTGGCAACTTCTATCTGGCTCGGCTAAGCTCCCTCGATTAGACTAACTTTCAACCTGGTTCTGCCGCGGACCGCACAGAGATCCTCGATTTTGCCGTTTGCAACTCGATTTGAAATTCGAAGGCATCGTCGATCGTTTCGAAAGTCTGCACAGCGAAACGTTGCACGATCATTTAAATATGGGTGAAGAGCACAATTTGTACCGACGACAATGAAAAATGATCGATAGTTCGAACTGATAAGGCAACTTCGTAAGGAAAGATCCACTTGGCCTCATTTCAAAGCACGAATCCTTTGCTCTGAAAGTAGTAAATTCGTTCCTTCTTTTTTTTTTTTTTTTTTAGATGATTTTAAAATTGTAAAAATTCAAACTCAAGATGATCTTGAAGATCCAAATTTACTGTACTTGTGTAATAAAAATAGCAAACATACGAGAAATATAAATTATAGGTTGTATAAAATAAATATAATTTCTAGAACACAAACTACACGATATGAATTATTAATAAGCAATAAATTATGCGCATAATACGTAGTATACGATATGATATCGCGTTTGCGGCACATGTAATGTACTTGAACACAATAAGTATGGGGTGAGCTGAAAGTTTCTTCCTACTTTTTCTTTTATATAAAACATCGAAATGTAAGAAAAAACTAATTTTATAAATTTTAAATTAAATTCAAGTTCAAGCATGATTTTTTTTTTTTTTTTTGACTGTCAGAGTGTTCGCAAATTAAAAAAAAAAGCATATAATAAAAAAATTTACGGATTTATTTTAGTAGGAAGTGATGTTTTTTTTGTCCCACACTATGCCAAACATACTTTATGCAACATACCTTATACTCTGTTAATATGTCACGTTATCACAGACGATAATCGTTGAACATTAAAAATAAAAGTGTCCTAAGACTACTGAACGATAGTGTAGATATCCTTATGCGATATTGTCATATTCTGTTCGACGAAGTTTGACAGAGTTTGACGTGTCGGTAAAATCCCTCGAAACGGATCGCTCTCGGTAAAAAGAGGATCGAAATGTAAACTTGAATGTAGACCTGAGAATCTCTATCGAAATGATCGTCGATTTGCAACACTTTCGAGCAAGACAACCAAACACACACTCGTAATCAAACCAACGGTAGACAAACAAACGATACGATTTATCGGATCGATAGACACACACGTATGTAGGTCTTGTCTCGGTCGGGAGTTTGATCGAGTTTTTCGTTGGCTCTCCTCCGAACGACCGCCGACGTTTTATCAAATAAACAGCGCATCGAGCAGCGGTAGTGTGCCATTTGAAATGAAGCTCGCCGACCGCGAAATGGCCGGTTAATGGCGAAGTTTAAAGAGAGCGCAATGACGTGTGCTAAAGAGAGGCGCTAACACCGCCACGACCGACCGCGACTGCTCGTTTTATTATGACCTATGACTATTCGATTGGCCATTATTCACTTGAGAGGAATACCTACTCTCTTATACGCGTACGCGTACGCGCCACTTGAACCGGGACGACGATCCGTTCGAAGACGACAAAAGACGACATTGCCGCTCAACACGACGAATATTTATATATGTATGCTCGAATATGTTGAAAGAAATTTTCGAGAGGAAATGAATTCGAGAGATTTGAATTTTAGATATAGCTAGAGCAGGTAATGTGAAAAGCGAGAAATAACGAAGGAAAGAGTGAGAAGATTCTGTTACATCGAACGATTGTTGCAAATACGATCACCGGGATAGTGAGGTGAAAATATGAAAAAGTGTTGTCACCGATCGTTGCGTTAATTACAGAAAGTGAAAGTGCGATTCGTATTTAATTATTGTAATAATGAGTGCTTTATGTAAATATAATTCAATTTAATTTAATATAATTTAAAAATATAATTTAATTTAATATAATGTAATTTAAATTCATTGAAATAACGAAATTTAGAGAAAATCGGCAGAAACTCTCATCGCAAAATGGCAATTAAACAAGTGAGTGAAACAGGGATTAAAACATGGGCGAAAGTGCAAAATCCAGGAGAGTTGACAATGAAAATGCCATTGAAGATCAATTCAAAAGACGAAATATTTAGGTGTAATTACATACCTAAATATTAATCGATAAATGAATCGTAAAGAAGAGAAAATAAATTAGCTCGATTAACCGTATTGTGAGAAGTTTTGAATAAAATATAAATTTATTTGAGAAATTAATAACAGATGCGAATTAATGAAATGAAGAGTGTTGGATATAAATATAATAATGACGGTAATGATTGTTACGTGAATATTAATCGATATCGAAATTGCAAAGGAATGAAGATTAAAATTAGATCGACCAACTGAATTCTGACAAGTTTCGAATGAGTATAAATTCATTTGAAAAATTAATAAAAGATAGATACGAATTAATCGGAACATGTTTCCACTTTATTTAGGTATTATTACGCGAGCTCGTCAGTAGCTAATATTGATAGTTATTCGCTGACACTTCTTAATGCCTGAAAACACAGACGCGACGTTTTAATAATCGGTTGATCGTTAACCCTTTGAGGCCGTGGCGTGGCGTGGCACGTTAATTTCCCCAGAATTCAATAACACCGTGCGCCCTCCCCCCGAACATATTCCCAAAGTATACTAATACTTCCGTTAAATCACGCAACGTTGCATGAACGCCCGCGTGCACGATATTATTTAATAACATTCTGCTCGCGAACGGGCGAAGAACGGAACGTTAATTCCCTGTAACTTCCTGGCGAAAACATGTTTTCGATAATTCCTCAAACGCCGCCGTTTTTGATAAAACGACTAAACGGCAGCCAGCATCATGCGTGTGTTGTATCGTTGGTTTTAAATCGCGTAAATCACACAGACATTACATTCCCGAACACGTGTATCGTTCATTCCGATACGTTTCTGTTTAATTATTTTCTGCCGTTTCGTTTAATTATTTCTGTAAGGTAGATTACTTAAATAAACGTTGTTCAATTGCAAAACATCCAACGATATTCCTTATTTCTGATTATTCGTGTCTCGTCGTCGTTGGACGAACGTTTATGCATTTATTCATGGAGAATTTTGAATTGATCTTCAATGGCATTTTCATTCAGTCAACTCTCCTGGATTTTGCACTTTCGCCCATTTTTTTAATCCCTGTTTAATCACTGATTTTTTAATTGCCGTTTTGCGATGAGAGTTTCTGCCGATTTTGTCTAAATTTCGTTATTTCAACGAATTTATAATTACATTATATTAAATTGAATTATATTTTTAAATTATATTAAATTAAATTGAATTATATTACATTATAAATCATTTCTGAGAATCACTTTTTCATCGAAAAGGCATCGAAAGAAATTACTAATAAGAGGTTGAAGGCTGCCAAATTTCATTTCCCTCGCTACGTATTCAATTTCGAATAAAGTGATACAGGCAAATTTTGAACAGGGCATGATTTATCCTTTGAGCGATCGAATTTTTGAAAATTGCCAACGTCCCTGTCTTTTGAAATTTTGTTCAATCAAATTTTTCGCCCAAGTTTCTGCCTCGAGATTCGTATTGTTGTAATTTCTGCGAGATAATTCACGCTTCTCTATGCAGAGACACCTCTACGCTCGAATAACAGTTGCGCGTATACATTTTCCGCGTCTGAATAATGCCTGTCTGTCGAGGTTACGTTATCTGTGTATACATTTTCCTCCTTTTGTTATTCTCTCCTTACTTTTCGTGCCTCGTATAATAGAAATTACGTCCGCGCGGCTGAAGATATTCAAAAATGAACAAAAGATAGCGTCAACTTTTTTTATAGAACAAAAACCGTAAAAACATGTATTATCTTCGAGAATTAACGCACGTATTTACATTTCGACGACTTGAAACGTTCGACAAGATCATTACACTTACTAGAACTGTAGAATACTCGTTATCCACACGCTGTCGGTCGGTCCACAAAGCACCTGAAAATACAGAAAATAATTTAGCACATCGTGTACCAAAAAGCATGAATCGTTTAAAAAAAATCTACGTTATATCATTATACAAAATTGAAGAATATTTTAAAAATTCTCAGTGACTCTTCTTGAAATTTCTACAGTGTTCTCTACGTGCAAAGAAAAGAAGCAAAAAAATTAGAATCAAAATTACGAAGAACTCTAATCTCTGTCACAACAGTTTATTTTACGAAATTCTCTGCGTGATTATCGGCCCGAGAATTAATTCGTTCGAGTGCGCTTCGTCCGAGTCCGAGAAATAAAAAAAAAAGAGAGGGGAAGGGGGAAAGAGAGAAAGATCAAAAAACCGTGGCCATTAGGCAACGTCACGAAAGAAACAGCGAAATTTTTTCGTACTCCCGTTTCAATTCACTTTTTGCGTGGACGTTCACGTTGAATAAAATCATCTCGCGTCTGGAAACATGCGCGCGCGCGACTCCGACGTCGGGAATCGCTCTTCAATCATGGACGAGTCGACACTGTGCCATTGTTAATTGCCCGTCTGGCATTCGCCGTGCTCGACACACGGTGTTCAAATTAATTACAGGAATCTATTACGCGTTCCGTCGATCCGGCGTACCTTTTGTCATTGCTGCGCTCGGTATTCCGGCAGCTGTTCCCACGGAACCGACATTTTCGAATAAATAGAACAATACGTTTCTCTAATAACTCTGCCGGGTAGAAGGAGGTCGGGTCATCTGCCAAAAATGTCGGCAAAGTTTGCCAATATTTCTTTCACAGATGATTAGAATATCGCTGAGAATCCAGATCCGTCGGCTTGACATTTCGAAACTTCTGCGTGGGAAGTTGAAAGCGAATCTAGAAATCCTGAATTTTTGTGAAAGCGTACGGACTAAATTTCTTTTTTTTCTTTTTCTTTTTGTTAAAGTTAGAGGCGTTCGAGATTTCATTTTCTAAAACAGAGGCGGTTAACGCGGGTCCTGCTCGCTAGCGCTACCCCCTCCACCGCATCAGTTCAACGTAGTGGGGAGAACGATGCGGTGGTGGGGATAGTCCGAGTTCCGAAACATCGAACACCATTACTGCAAAAAGATTGGAAACAACCGGTGTACAAAAATTCCCGTTGACATCGAGAGGAGGTTCATCATCGCCAATATCTGAAATATTGGCACGACCATCTTAAATCGTTTTTAAATTTAAATTTTTCCAGTCGCCACATCGAATCATGGAACTTTCATTGAGACCACATTTCAGTGTTTTCTCCTCGTGATTTTCAAAATTCCTCTCATAAATTATCGAGCACAATGGGCCTGTAACAAGTTCCGCGATTCCACGTCCCACGGGGGAAATTGATTTTCGTTTACTCTGCAACTTTTTCCAAGTACAGAGTGGAAACTTTATTATCCGCGCTTTCCATTGTCCTAATGCGATTTTATCTCTGCTGTACGAGCGCGCTATTATCCGAACGCGTCCTCTTTTATAACCGCGTGTGTTCCCTCCTCTCTCTCTCTCTCTCTCTCTCTCTCTCTCTCTCTCTCTCGAAATACAGAAACGTTCTCCCTGAATTTGATTATAACGGAACGCGGCTCGTGTAAAACTCTACATTGCCGAAAACGGCGGTGCGAATGGAACGTTCAAAAATTCAGTTTTCATTGTCGAAGAAGTGGCCATTACCAGGCAGAAAGAAAAAACCACGGACGATGAGAGACAAAAGCGTGTAATTAGGAACAATTATATGCAATAACCTTCAGTAGAAACCTGGATTATGCGTATCAAGATCTTTCGAAAAAATTCTGTTTGATCTGTTGAAAAAATTGTTAGAGAGCGAAAATTTGAGTGTCTGTTAACGAGTAAACGTGAGCTCTTGTGTAAAACTTTTCAAACGAAAGTTGTCAATTCTGTGCGTTCTCAATATTGCGATTTTATTGAAAGCGATCACATTTTCAGGATTTCACCGAGTTCATCTATCCAGATTTCGAGTACAATTCACTATTCTTTACGGAGTTCTTGACGATTGCTAATACTAATTAATTTGTAGAATAAGAATAACTTCGTCGATTCCGAAATATTGC